CATCCTGCCCGGAGCTGCTGCCAGCTGCCTGGGGGGGCCGCTCCCTGGGGGGCCCACATGTAATCCAGGGCGGGAGGCATGCCTTCCTCTCCCAGGTCCCTCCTTGTCCAGGCACTGCTAGCGCCCTGTCCCTTATCGCCGCCTCTCCCTTTCCCCTGTCCCTTCCTTTCAGTCTCCGGCCCCTGACTCCTTCCAACTAGGCTCCTGAGAATATCGGTAATCCCCCTGCCACTGCCACCACACCCCCGCCAAAGAAGACACCACAGTCCCCCTCAAGGGCCAGAGCTGGCAGCTCCCCTTGGGAAGTTCTTCCTTGGGTTTAACCTCAATCCTTCATGTCATTATGCATGTATGTTTCCTCTCCTACCCTCTGACCTGGGACAACACTGAGTCTTGCTCTTATCTGGATGGGGAGGGAGGTGACATATGCAGAAAAAAGGGCCAGCAGTAACAACCAGAAAGGGGATTAGATTGAGGAGGGGTACAGCTCACACCCACCCCAACTTTGCCTCTCTGACTTGGGAGTCACTTGGGGGACGCAGGGACATTTCTGATTAAATTCCCCTGGTCTGGGTCTATTTTCAAACACGACCACCCTCGTGTCAGGAATGAGAGCGACATCCAGAAATACCCACTGAGGATAGCAGGAGGGCAGCCTGCCCAGGCCACAATCAGGCAGCAGGGGACACGTGGTGGGCTGGCAGCACCAGGAACTGGAATCCAGGAGTCCCGCTCCCCCCGTCCCCCGCGGGAGCATGAAGAGGTCACTGCAGGGAGCACAGTGCTCAGGCTGGGCATGGCGCCCACTGTGACTCACGCCCTGCAGCCATCGGCGCCCCCAGCCCCGGAGTTCTCACCCTGAGATCACTCACTGCCTGCAGGCGCCATTCTGCCACCTCAGCCTCTGCCCACCGGCAAGCCCCGCGTGCCCTGTGCCCAGGCCCCTACCAGGGTAGGATGGGCAATGCCCGCTGCCAGGCTGACGGTCTCCTGCCAGCCCAAGCCCTCTAAGATGACTGCGTGCCCCGCGTCTCTCCAAACCTTCCAGCCCTTGCAGCCTTCCACCGCCCGTAACCCTAGAGGGCGGAGCCCCCTGGAGGCCTCAGGCCACCGACCCCGCCGCCCTCAGCCACCTCTCCCCAGCTCGGCAGTCTCCCGCTCCGGGGCCGCCGTCCTGGAACGCAGGGCGCACGCAGCTCAGAGGTCTCCGCGGGCTGGTGACCCCGTCGGCCCGCCCCCGGC